GGATCAGCAAGCACGTCCTGCTGCCCGTTTTCAAGAGTGTGGAGCTGGTGGACATGATGGAGAATTTCCTGGCTGAGGTCCCAAACTACCTGCAGGGCAAGGAGGACAGAGTAGAGATGTATTACTGCAAAAGCCTCCAGGAATTCACACCTGCCCCACGAAGATACGACGTCATCTGGATTCAGTGGGTTTCAGGTTAGTTCTGTGTGATCCTCTGGCCTGACACCTCACAGAACAGGCAGCCTCTGCTCCAAGGAGGTTCTCAGATCTTTGGGGCTACTTCCTAAAACACCACAAGAGACTTCTGAGAGTTCCCCACATGAACACTGGGTACAAATCAAGTTGGTTTGTTCAGGTCACATATTGGAGAAACATGCCAGATCATGGATAGCAGCCTGCATGCCAAGGGGCAGCTGAGAGTGAGGCCCTAAATAGGGATTTTCTGGTGCAGAAATGTTCTTTCTTAGGTGCAGAGAGATACACACGGCTGACTACACTTGTGAACAGTGGTTTCTGAAGCTGCTGACTATCCAGGCTTGGAGATATTTCAGGAAACAATCAGGAAAAAAGCCATAGTGGAATCACCAATACCTGTAAATCAGTTCAGGTCTTATTATGTGCACTGATGTTTATCAGACATAGGTTCCCTTTGCTATGTCCCATAGTTGCCTCTTCTATAAGAAACATCTGCTTCTTCTCTTGCAGCCACCCAGTGAATGCCCTGCAGCATTTAGAGCAATCACATAAGGAGGGCTATGTACCTTTCAAAAAAGAAAAAAATTCTGTGCAGTGAAAATAAGGTTTTCTCTTAATCTGTGAACTGTCGTGTCCAGGGTGCAGTTTCAGAAGAAATTATTCAAGAGGAGGTCTGAACAAATTCCTTTAGAGCAGCATAATTTTCCTTTGTATTTTTGCTTTTCTTTAAATAATGAGTCATTGCAGTAAATGTAGCTCCTGCCTCACCTTTTGAGTAAATCCAAGTAAAAATGAGGAGGAATGAGGTTAGACCTATCTAAGGCTGTGCTGGTCAGATATGTGGCTCCTAACTAAGGGCGCATATCATATTCCTAGCACAGACACAGAGCTGAATCTTCTTTCTCCATTAATATCAAGGAAGTATAGAGAAATCTTAATCATTAATCAAACTTCTACTTCTATCTTGAATTTGGCTCAAATATTCATTTGATGGAGTGAGGGCAGGACTGTCTGCTAGAGAGAAACACCTCTAAGATCTCTTTTTCTTAGCAAACTACAACAAAAGCCAAGTAAAGAGAAAAATAAGTTCCAAATTAGGTGTTCAAAAGCTTCAATGAATCTTGCCAATGAAATCTTGATTTGTCTTATGCATGCATAAGCATGTGAACCCTAGTAATCATTTTGTAAAACAAGTAAAAGTGCAAACTTACATTCCATATAGAAATTACCATTTTCCTTCAACCTGAAAGGTATTCAGCTTTAGGGTTTGGGGCTTTTACTTTTTTGGTTTTTTTTTTGGTTTTTTGTTTGTTTGTTTTGTTAGGAGTGGTTAAAGAAACTTGACATTCTATGTCAAAATGTGGTTTTGAAATAACAGCTTCCATTTATAAAAGTTTAAGTCTTCCATCAAGAAAATGAAATAGTTTTACTAGAAAATACAGGTGATTATTTTTTCCAAGTTTCTCATTCAGTTTCTGATCACCGGTCCTTGTTTATTCATGTTAGATGTTTCATATGTGAGAGTTCTCATTTTGTTCTTCTCTGAGCTCTGCACCACTCTTCTCCACAGAACTCCTGCTCTTTGAGAAGGAAGAATAAGAAACAGAATCTCAATAACACTGGAAAAAAAGCACTATTTTATAATACATACATATCTGCAAAAAATCCCATGGGGTTTGGAGTAACATGGGGAGCTTATTTGGTGTTGTGGAATTGACACTGCATTCTTTGCTGGATTTTTGATCCAGAACTCTTTTTGATGGAGGGATACAGTGCTACACAAAGTTACAGAGATTTTTAGCAGTAAAAAACAGAGAGGACTGGGATTATCTAGTCTGACTTACTCTATATCCCAAGGTGCTCTATTCATTCCTTTACCCCCTTGCTAAGCCAGTAGTTTGTGTTCAATTAAAATGTATCTTGAAAGATTCAACCACACTTGGTTTGAGGACCTCAAGAGGTGGTAAACCCCACTTCTGGTGGTAGTTTCCAATGGGTAATTGCTTACACTGTTAAACAGTTGTCACTTATTGCCTATATCAATTTGTTTGGCTCCAGCCTCCTGCCACTGATTCTTATTATAACTTAAACCACCAGATTAAAGAAGCCTTCAGCACCCACTATTTTCTCCACTCTCCTCAGTGGCTTCTGTCCACATCTGTTGCTGCCACCACTATGGATCCCAAATATTGACTGGAGTTTGTATTTTTTGATCTCATTGATTTGCCCAAGATTTCCTAGTTAAATCTGGCAGGACTAGAATACTAATTTTCTGCAATAAACAGGCCATGGAGACTTGGATCAAGGCACCCTTCTGACATGTCTGAATGGTTAAGAATGATCTATTTTTGATCTGTCTTGGTTTGAAAAGCCAGGTGTCTAACAAGGAAGGCAGGAGCCTCCCTTGAAATGGAAAATGTAAACCCCCTCCCTCTGAATTATTGTAATTTTGAAATTAAGGGGGGCTCTCAGGCAAAGATATGGGAGAAGGAATAACAGTTCTTTAATAGGAAAATGAAAAATACAAATGTAATAGGTACAAAAAAAGAGAACAAACCACTTCCAGAGTGAGAGCAGTCCCTGTCCCCTGTGTGCCAGGGTGGTGTCCCAGCCCCATCCCATGGGGGCTCAGCCCTCCTGCAGTCCCAGCTGTGGCTCTGCTGCAGCAGGAATCCTGCACAAGGGGGGAGTTTTCCTCTGCAGCTCCAGGGCTGCTGCAGATGGGCCTGGGCTCCCTCTGGCCATGCAGGGCAGCAGAAAGCTGCTCTTCTGGCAATGCAGTGGGCAAAGGCTGCTGTGGTGTCCCAAAGCTCAGATTGGATCCAGGCAGGAATGCTTGGCTCCTCCCCTGGGCAGAGCATCTCCCCATGGGATGGTGGAATTGGATCAGCCATGCAGGGACACTCACTGGCCATGGACAGAAGATAATTAATAATTAATGGCTCATGAACAGAAAAGAACTCCTGGAGGGAGGATTGATTGTGGAAGAGATAAAGAAAACTGCCCCATGAACAGCAGAGAACTGCCCCAAGTCTAACAGATGGCAATAGAACACACATCCCAGCTAAATCTTTGAACCTAGGACACACAGTTGCTGTGATTTCTTTTCAGGTGGTATTTTTCAGATTTGCAATGATTTTCTTGTATCCCCCAGGGGGTGGGTAAAGCTGGCACCAGCCGTGCCCTGGACTGTGGCTCTGGGATAGGTCGGATCAGCAAGCACGTCCTGCTGCCCGTTTTCAAGAGTGTGGAGCTGGTGGACAGGAACAGAACACAATCCCCCCATTTCCAACCTAAAACACCATCTTTTGACCCACAGGATATCTGACAGACAAAGACCTCCTGGAGTTCCTCATCCGCTGCCAGGGTGGCTTGAAGGACAACGGGGTGATCATTCTGAAGGATAATGTGGCCAGGGAGGGCTGCACCCTGGACTGCCTGGACAGCAGCGTCATCCGCGACCTCAACATCCTGCACAGCCTCATCGAGATGAGCGGACTCACCATCCTCAGGGAGGAGAGGCAGGAGGGCTTCCCTGAGCAGTGTGTCCCTGTCTGGATGCTGGCCATGCAGAAGGGCCCTGGCCACTCCTGACTGCCCTGGGACACTCCAGGGACTGGGATATGGATGAACTGGGAAGGAGAAAAGCACCTCCTGGGATCCTCCTACCCATGCACTGCTCCAGGGCAGCAGCTTCTAAAGGGTCAGGAGAGAGCCACAAAACTTCTCCCAGGAACAGTCTGCTCCTAAATCCTACCTGCTCCATCATTCTGCTCCTAAATCCTACCTACTCCACCATTCTTTCCATTTTTAAAAGCTTTCCTGACCTCCTTGTTAGACCTCTGTTCCGTTAATGAGTCAACACTATACAAAACTCATCCAATAGAAAAAATTAGGTCTGAAATTTCTGTTGTAGTTAATAATTTTGGGGTGTTGTCTATGAGGTGTTAACAAGCCTGGTTTTTACTATGGCACTTAAGTCTTCTTGGAATTTAGGAAGGATCTGTCAGGTCACTGAAGCAGGAAATTCAAGTAAATTCTGGAAAACTTCACCGAAATTTTGGCTGTCCTCTCTACCTGTACTTTAAAATATTTAAACCAAAAATATAAAAAAAGCTTTATCTTTTTGTTGGCATCAGCCATGCAGTTTTGGGTTTTTTGTGGGATTTTTTGTGGGTTTTTCTTTTTGTTGTTGTTGTTTTGGAGTTTTTTGGTTATTTGGGAGTTTTTGTTGGGTTTTGGGGGGGGTTGGAGTTTTTGTTTGTTTGCTTGGGTTTTGGGTTTTTTTGTTTTGTTTTTTTTTTCATTTCTGTCAATATGGACAATAAAACAACCTGGTTAATTTTCCATTTTTAGGAGCCACTTCCTCTTCCTGATGTTCCTGCTGTAGAACAATAGTGGCGCATAAGGGATTTCACACTCCAGAGGAAAACTTGGCTGACAAATATCTGCATGTTTGCATTGAGATTTTGTGAAAAGCTTGCCCCACATATTACATTCTGGAATATTTTTAAATTTTTTTCTGAGTGTTCACAGTGGAAACCACTTGAAAGCCTCTCTTGATTATTCATACCACTGTACATTTCTTTTTTCCCACATTCAGAACAAGCCTGGCCCCATATGCAGAGCTAATGGGATTTCATGGAACGTTAATAGTAAGGCTGTAAGAAGAACTAATAGAGTATTGTATTAATTAACAACTGTGCTAAACTGCAGAGAGAGTTAGTGTAGCTCCAAAGCAATGATTTATATTCAAATAGCAGCTGTCTAAGCCTGCATTTGAAAATACTGACATGCAGCCCCATCTCCTTAGGGCTCACAGAAATTGTACATTAAGCTTCTTGTGCTCTTCACAGAGGCACAGAAAGTGCTGTGGGAGGACAGAAGTTCATTTTGAAAACAAATTTAGAATTTGGAATTCTCCTTTGTTCTAAAGATGGGGGGAATTTTGAAATTTTTATGAGGGAAAGGTACACAAACAAAGTTTTCCAAGCTGGTTAATTTTTTTTATCCACACAACATGCAATGCTTCTTTTGAATTGAACTTTTAACCTAATTTGCAGTTAAAATGTTACTAAGGCTTGTTCAAAATTTTAGAAATTAATTCTGACTCTGTCAGAATTTTTTATCCCATCTTACTCCCCTGAAATGCAATCCTGGAAAAGCTTTTCAGACTTTGTAAAGAGTTGCTCTATGACAAATCTCTCTGTGCTAGGGGAAAGGAGCTCTATAAAACATCCCTCACATGACAGCAGGCACAATTGGCTGTGTCAAATATTGTCAGCTGTGTTGGATTAACTAAAAAAGAAGCCTAAAGACAACAAGATAAGGGAGCCTCTCAGCTGGATTTTAGTACACATTGCTGTCCTTTGATAACAAATCTCCAATTTTGATTTTAATTGCATAACTCATCTTCTCTGGCAATATGTTTGCAGATGTTGAGAATTAGCAGTTTATGGCAGAAGGCTTTCTGCCATCAACTCTTATCCAGTAACTCTTCTGTTAATGTTCCATGGCTAATTGTAGCATTAAGGAAAACCACACTGGTGATTTGGTGAACATTCTGGTGTTTCCTATAGCCTGGAAACCTATGGTTCCCACAACACAGATGCTCCTGGAATGTTTTGACTAATTCTTCCATTCTCATCAGCTGGTATTGCATGGAAACTGAGTAAGTAACATTTTTTTATCAAGAAAGAAGAATCAGTCCTATAGCAAAAGGAAGGCAATATTTACATATTTTCCTTTACTAATGGATTATATCAGCTGAGTTGGTGCAGTTCAGTCATGAGAGACGTGGTTCCAAGGTGGATTTAGAATACAAAGTGGTTCAAGATGAAAAATGGAATATAAATGGCTGGTGTGGTTACCAGTGAAATACATTTTTCAGTGTAAAAATGTCCTTCCTGTGTTTTGTGTATCTTTCCTATTAGAATTTCCAGAATGCATGTACATAAATATATAATGAAAATTGGTTCCCTTAACTATGTGAGAAGAGAGAAAAGTAAAATCTTAATTTAGTAGAAAACCCCGCATTTCATGGTTTCACATTCCTGGAAATTAATGTTTCATGGCTATGTTGCTTCCACAGTAAAATAGTAAAGATTTTCTGGTGACATAATGAATCTCAAGAGTAAAGAAACAAAGTCCTTCAGGAGCTTAAATGCATGAGAAGGCTGCAGACTGAAAAATATTTTGGTTTCCTCCGTTTCTGAGGCATGTTTGAATTCCAGAACTCCCAGTCATCTGGTACAGGCCACCCTTAAATGTCCCTTAATTTGGGTAAGGGCCCTTCTTGCCTTAGAAATTCAGGGCTGTCTGCAATTTACCAATAGCAAATAAAAATAATAATAATAAATAATCACAAACTTCAATCCGAAAACTTTGCTTAGAAATCACCTGTGTATCAGTTGTTCTTTGGTGTTCAAGGTCTGGGCATTCAATTCAATGGCTCTGCCTCAATTTTGCTGTTGTTTAAACCAATAATTTAAATAAGTCTTTAGCTCCCTGGAGGTTTGAATCCCATTTGTATTGTGCTCATCTAAGACTTGTTCCTGATCTTGATGTTACCAGAGATTTAATCCAAGATCAGGACCCTGTCTGGGACAAGGCTCACAGAACACTGAGGGTCCTTCAAGCTCAAGTCCTCATTAGCACTGACAGGTCATTAATGAAATTCCCAATTTGTCCTTCCAGCACATCTTTCTCCCAAGCAACCACACAGAGTAAAGGCTTGGCCCAGCACAGTAAATCCCATTTCTGCCAAGCCACCACCCAAGTTCTGGTGTCACTCAGTGTCCCCATACCAGGTCCAGCTTCTGTTTTGTGTGACTGAAGGCCAGATATTACCTTTGTTGGATCAATGTGAGCCTCAAGCCCTGGCTGGAGCCTCCAAAGACCACTGCAACCCCGCAAAATGTAGAAAAACAACTGTTGCAGCATTCTGAGCAGCAATCCCAGCCATGCAGCTCCAGGAACCATCACAACTCAAGATGTTCATGCTCCAAAGGCAATTCAGAGATTGCAAATGTCCTTCTGTTACTAAATGGAAGAGAGAGCCATCATTTTGAAGCATGCAGCTGAATGGATGTGCTGAAATGTTTTGTTTCAGAAGTACTGAAGTGCTATCAGGTATTTTTAGCTTGATTTTTTGTTTTATTGTTGACATAAGCTAGTCTGAGCTGACATGTTATGTGAGGTGACAGCGTAATACACTATATGGTACTGAAATAGCTGAAGTGAAACATCAGCTTCCTGCAGAACACACTCATAAAATCAGCACATTCCCTGGCCCTGAACTTAGTGAAACAAGTCAGCAATTTCCAGAGGAAACTGGTTTCAAGAGGTACAGCCCTGTCAAAGGCATTTCCCCAAGCTCTCTTTGTCCAGGCTCTCCCATGCACTCAGGCAGCTCCAGAAGCAGCCACTGGAGGCTCTTGGAAAGGCAAGAAGAGGCAGCTGACCCCTCCAGAGCACTCTGACCAGCTCAGAGCAGGGCTGGGCTGAAATCAGAGCCTCCCCTGTGCCCAGGGGCTGTGCAGTGATGGTGCATCCTTGTTAAAACCAGCTCAGCATCTTCATTGAAATGGGGCTGCCAAAAACAAGGCAGGGGCTTGGATAACCAAGCACCCTCTGGAAATCAGTCATGGAACCAGCACACTGCAGTCAAGGGACACTTCAGCACTGGAAAAAGCTTTGCCATTAGTCTACCAAGAGCCCTGAGGACCTTGGTGCCATTCCCTTGTTTTTTTCCAGGCTCCCCAGGGTGTTTACAATGGCATATCAGAGTGGGCCTGTCCAGAGGAGCTTCACTCTCATGTGTGATTAAAACCAGTTGTGTTGCATCCCATCCTTCTCTTCCTTTGATGCTTCTTCCAGCTTGCCAAAGAAAATCCTGCCTCCACTTGCCAAGAAATATTTGTTTGCTGTGGACATCACCACATCCCTCTGAAATAAAACAGATTATCTTTGGTTTTGAGAGGAGGTAATTCTGTTTGTCTGAGAGCAATAACAACACTCTGCATTCCCAACATGCAGGTTAATTCCTATCTTTTCCAAGTGATGGCAAATGGGCACCCCCAGACCACTGTACCAAACAAAGTTCAAGTTCCCATCACCATAAATAACAATGTTTGCATGACACCATACACCCCTAGGATGTGAAAAATGGGGTTTATTGTGTTTGGGATGAGGAAACTGAGGGTGATCTGGGCAGCATTACATCTTTACCTAAGTGAGTAGCACCTCTGTAAACCAGGCCACCAGAGGAATTCCAGAATGTTCTGCAGGCAGACATAAACTGATTCTGGCTGTGTTGGAACACATTGAGACAGCCCAGTTGTGGTTAGCCTGCTTAACTCACCTGGAATGTTCTCCATACAAAGGGCTTAGGCTGAGGAATATCAGGAATATTATGCTTAGGAATATCAACAGCTTCTGTTCCCTTCAAAGCCTTGAAACAGCAAGCCAGTGTATGCCTGCAGCAAAAATAAAAACACAAAACTGGTGAAAAGTCTCTCCTCCCTGTATCTCTCTTCAAAGAAATGTTGAATTTTCAGGATTTCATCCTGTTGTGGTGTCCTCAGGACTGAGGT